AGAGATGGGGTTTCACCATGTTGGCCAGGCTGGTCTTGATCTCTTGACCTTGTGATCCACCTGCCTCGGCCTCCCAAAGTGCTGGGATTACAGGTGTGAGCCACTGCACCTGGCCAGATTTTGTCATTTTCTTCTACCACTGCTATATTTCCAGCATCTAGTATAGGGCCAGACACATAGCAGGAACTCAGCAACAATTTATCAGATGAATGAACAGACTGTTATTATATAATGAATGCATTTGTTAATGTGTATGCTGACTATGATGGTAGAGACTTTTGCCTTTTCACTATTGGGTCCTCTGTCCTAAGATGGGGAAGAGTACAGTGTAGCAAAACTCCAATACATAATAAATGAAGGAAAGAAGAAATGGGTCTTCATAGCTTCGTGCAGCTCCTTCCAGGAATTTTCTCAGTATTTATAGATCTATATTTGTTTATAAAACATGCCAACTTCAAAAAAACTCAATGCGATCACTTGAACTTATCATGGCATAAATAGTAATCTATGTTTTACAGAAGTATATTAATTCCCTATATATTTTTTTCAAATATAATGTATCTTATCTTCTAAGATGCAAGAGAGATGAGATACATGACAACATCCCTGATAACAGTGACTTACTAAAGTAATGATTTATAAGAGGAGGGGTGGAGAAGGGCTCAGAAGTGCACCCCTCCCTCCATGGCACTATAGCAGAATCTGGGCCAGGAATGTGCAGTTGGAGAAGAGTAACTGTGTAGTTTGAAAAATTTCCCAAGATGATTCAGACATGCCCTGCCTCTTCTATCTGGAGAAGCTCTGAATTGCAATGCGCTTTTTCATCTAATCTCTTTTGTTAAAGTGATTCATTGTTTACTATGAAAGTGCCATAACCTACTGAACTTATCTTCATTGTTGGCATTAGGAAATTTCTAATCGTTTGCATTGAAAATAGCAGTGATACTCATGCTTTAATGTGCTATCACTACCGGGAGTTCTTTCTCCTTGTGCATTAACTACGTGGTGACCACACACCTCGATGTCCATGAGTGAGGTGCTTCTGTGCTCCAGGTTCCAGTGTGTGCAACAGTACTGTGCTGATGCAAGAGGTGACGACTCCAATCCCCAAAGAGGTCCCCTGCACTTCCAGGGTCTCCTAAAATAGGCGAACATAAAGATGGAACCAAATGCTCTCTTTGGCTCTCTATTCTTCAGTCAACACAGGCGACCTGGAAGATTTGTTGATGGCGTCTGCTGGGATGGAAGTATTACCAATAGTTCTGTTTTCTCCAAGTAGGAGGCTAGAGACCCTCTAAGGAGCAACTGACTTCACTGGAGCACAGGACAACTCCATTTCCAAGACCTCCACAGAACTAGCTACCTTCCACAGTGACCTCGGTCAATTCATGGAATTCTTTGGTGTGTGCTTTTCCTTTATCATTTCTTTAATCAAATTGGAGTAACAACAACTACTTAATTGGAATAATAACAAAGAATATTATGATCTCACTATACTGTTGGGAGGAAGAAGTAAGTGAATAATTAAAAACTTGATAAGGGTTTTAAACATGCAGGTAGTTAGGGGAAAGTAATGCCAAATGATTATGGGGCACTCTTGAGATAATGCTCCAAGTAAGTGCTGAAACTGATGAACAAGCAGCAGGCCACTCTGGAATTTCAGGAACCTGCTTGGAGAAGATAAGAGTGCCTATGAATGACTGTACAGAAAGCGAGACAGGGTTTCTCCTTTGATATTCTGTGACCCAAAACAGACCAGATATTAGCTGTCAAAGAATCTGCATAAATCTGGTTACTACTTAGATGGTACCTGTTAAATTTTCTGAAGGCATAATGCTTTCATTGAGTAGTTAACACTACAGAAACATACACCACACGCACAAAAGATGAAAGTGCAAGGATGTTAGCTGAAACCTATTTTTTTTTTTTTTTTGAGGCGGAGTCTCACTCTATCCTCCAGGTTGGAGTGTAGTAGCGCAATCTTGGCTCACTGCAACCTCCGCCTCCCGGGTTCAAGTGATTCTCCTGCTTCATTCTCTGGAGTAGCTGGGATTACAGGCCCCTGCCACCATGCCCGACGAATTTTTTGTACTTTTAGTAGAGATGGGGTTTCTCCTTCTTCGCCAGGCTGGTCTCAAACTCCTGATCTCAAGTGATCTGCCCACCTCAGCCTCCTGAAGTGCTGGGATTACAGGTGTGAACCACCATGCCTGGCCAGCTAAAACCTAAATTTTAATATAAACAACTAGAAATAGCCTAAATGCGTAAAGAAATAGAGTTTTATATGCCCAAGGAAAGCTCTAAGTTGCAAAGAAAAAATTAAGTCACCAAACAACTTATCCTATTTTTCTAAGAAGGGGAGCAAACTTAGAGGTAGAGGTGAAGGTTGGAGGTGGTGTAGAGTAATTTTTACTTTTCATTCCATACATTCATATAATTTGAAATGTTTATAGTGATAACATAATTCTCTTGGGAAAAGTATGTTTTATTTGTATTGAGACACTTTCCCTATATAATACAAGATTAAAACTTTGCTATTCTCTGACTTCTGCTTAAGTACTAATATGCTGTTTAACCTCTTGCTTGCTAGTTCCGTTTCTTTTTTCCCATTGCCACAGACACAAGTATTCATATCACCCTCTTGCCAGGAAACTCAGTTTTTTTTAATTTATTTTTTTAGGATTTTTGTGTACTTTTCCATACCAGCTATGTTCCTGGACAAATCACTATTATGCTACCTCCTTCCTGGGTTTCAAAAATATAATTACTTTTGGCAATTAAGTTACTTCTTGTTATGTTACATCTATTTAATTAAAGAAATTATATTCTAAACCAGATTTCAGCCCCCAAAGCAAGAAAGAAATTGGAGGTGACTAACATTTCATTTGCTGAGTACGGAGCAGCAAATCTCCACAATCCCCATCGATTAATACAAATAAGATCTTTCTGTTTTATTTTGAGACAGGGTCTCTGTCTCTCAGGCTGGAGTGCAGTGGCATGATCAAGGCTCACTGAAGCCTTGACCTCCTGGGCTCAAGCGATCCTCCTACCTCAGCCTCCTGAGTAGTGAGGACCACAGGCGCCCACCTCCACACCCACTTAATTTTTACAATATTTTGTAGAGATGGGGTCTCATACGTTGCCCAGGCTGGCTTCAAACTCCTGGACCCAAGTGAATCTCCCACCTCAGACTCCCAAAGTATTGGGATTATAGGCATGAGCCACTGTGCCTGGCCAAAAAAGCTTTTTTAAAACATATTCGGTCATATTCTCATACTTTTGAATTTCAACAGAATTGAACAGACTCAATTAAAATAAAAGGCATTTGCAAAATGCGACAGAATTTTGCCAGGTAATCAGGTAAAAAAAAAACAAAAAAAAACCCTCCCCCCAAAAAGCATGAAACCTACACCTTCAACATCTAAAACAAAGTACATTTTCATCTTCCAAAAATTAACATTATCAGGCATGGTTCGTGCCTGTAATCTCAGCACTTTGGGAGGCTGAGGCAGGTGGATGCTTGAGCCCAGGAGTTCAAGGCCAGCCTGGATAACATGGCAAAACCTCATCTCTACAAAAAATACAAAAAATTAGCTGGGCGTGGTGGTGCACGCCTGTAGTCCCAGCTATTGAGAGACTGATTGCTTGAGCCCGGGAAGCCAAGGTTGTAGTGAGTGAAGATTGTGCCACTGCACTCCAGCTTGGGCGACAGAGTAAGACCCTGTCTCAAACAAATAAACAAACAAAAATTAACATATTCTCAGAACACAGGACCATTCTTCAGGTTAACCTAGCTTTATGAGAAACCTACTACTTTAGCTCATTTTGTCACATTTGCTTTCACACCAACGTAACAAAATTTATCATAAAAATTTTCATCAAATTTAGCAAAGTGGGGAGAGGGGGTCAGCACATAAGAAGGGGCTTTCAGCTCAATCAGTAATGATTTTACATCAAGCTCAGTCGAGAAACGTAGATATTACTTCTTCTTCTTCTTCTTTTTTTTAGACGGAGTCTCACTGTTGTCCAGGCTGGAGTGCAGTGGCACGATCTTGGCTAACTGCAACCTCTGCCTCTGAGTTCAAGTGATCCTTATACCTCAGCCTCACGATTAGCTAGGATTACAGGTGTGCACCACCACACCTGGCTAATTTTTAATATTTTTATTAGAGATGGGGTTTCATGATGTTGGCCAGGCTGGTCTCAAACTCCTAACCTCAAGAGATCCACCTGCGTTGGCCTCTCAAGGTGCTGGAATTACAGGCATGAGCCACTACACCTGGCCAGTATTACATCTTATAACATTTTATTTATTGTAGATTGTGAACAATTAATGCTAAAAAAATAGATCCATCATAAGATGGATTTGAGAAATTGCTTATTTAGTTTAATGCATCCATTTCAGGATAGGGTTAAGTGACTTGCCCAAGCAGATCTCAGAGAACAAGTCGTGGACTCTGCATTATTTTCAGCAGTCTCTCTGCATGTGAATGGAATTCAGATCCCTGTACTGTTAATTCTTTCTGTGAACATTTGTTTGCATTTTGTCCTCTATTCAAATTAAGGCATGAAATTGTATAAAATTCAATTATTTCCAAGTCTGTAGAAAACATTATTGCTACGTAAAATGTAATAGCAAATGTCTGTCATATTTCAAAGAATAAGATTCTTAAAAATAGGCTGAGTGAGAAACAGGCTTATGTATTAAAATATATTACCCCTGTTTTTCAGATTTAAACTGATCTAAGAGGTTTTGAGGAATAAAGGAGGCAACTCTATCCTTCATCTTCAAAGAAAACAGCTCTACAGTATCTATGGTAACTTGGTCCCTGGACCAAGACAGCAGAGAATCTCTTTCACATCATAATGTTTCGATAGGTCTCTTTTTATTTACTATCTCTAATCACCAGAAATGTAAAAAATAGAAACACACACACACACACAAAACAATAATAACAGCAAAAAAAAGAGGGATGCTAAGTGGGTCTGTGGATACATACCTCACAGCAAAGTACAAAATGGTTGCGCCTGGTTTCTTGGGCAAATCATGATCAAGAACTCGGTGATCTAATTGTAACCAGTTCTGCTGACCTCTGTGAGAGCAAAGCAAATAAAAAGGATTCAACAGAAAGTCAGAAAAGTTCACAACAGACAGTGTTGGCAAAGCTGTGGGGAAACAGTTGCTCTCATACACCGATGGTAGGAGCACATGTTACAACTGGTAATGACACCAACTCTGCAATTTCTTTCAAAACTATGAAAGCACTTACCTCTGAACCAGGATTTCCATTTCTAGAAGTATATCAAGGTAAACTTGCACATGTGAGAAACAATCCGTATATGAAATCACCCACCGTAGCATCATTTGAAATAGCAAAAAGGGTAGAAATAACCTCAATGTCCAATAGGATACTGTTAAAAAATTATTTAAAACTATGGCAAAATGCAATGCAGCCATAAAATAGGCTGAAGAACAGGGGCATGGTGCGCACACATGTAGTCGCATTTATTCAGGAGGCTGAGGCAGGAGGATCGCTGGAGCCTAGGAGTTTGAGGCTGCAGTGTGCCATGATCACGGCTGTGAACAGCCACTGTACTCCAGCCTCAGCAACACAATCAGAGCCCATCTTAAAAAAGAAAAAAAAGCCAGGAGCCTCTTTATAAACGTATTTGGAAAAATTTCCAAGATACAATATTAAATGAAAAAGTAAGGTGATGCATAACAGTAAGTATGTGGCTTTTTTTTTTTTTTTTTTTTTTTTTTTTTTTGACAGAGTCTCACTCTGTCACCAGGCTGGAATGCAGTGGTACAATCTCGGCTCACTGCAACCTCCACTTTCCGGGTTCAAATGATTCTTCTGCCTCACTCTCCAAAATAACTGGGATTATAGGTACATGCCACCAGGGTTTCACCATGTTGGCCAGGATGGTCTCGATCTCTTGATCTTGTGATCTGCCTGCCTCAGCCTCCCAAAGTGCTGGGATTACAAGTGTGACCCACCGCGCCTGGCTGGCCATTTTTTTATTTATAAAAAGAACAAACCTACATATGTGCATGTGTATATTATAAAAATCTGAGAGGAAAAACAAAAAACTGATAACACTAGTTGACTTTGGAGGTTAAAAGCTAGGCCATATGTTAATCCTAAACTTTTATGAAATATGAAATATTTTAGATAATCAAGAAGGAGAAAACTTGTGGTTCAATGAAACAAAACACAAAGGCTGGGTGTGGTGGCTCACGTCTAGCACTTATAATCCTAGCACTTGGGAGGCCAAGGCAGGCAGATTGCTTGAGCCCAGGAATTTGAGACCAGCCCAGGCAACATGATGAAACCCAATTTCTACAAAGAATACAGAAAAAATTAGCCTTGTGTGGTGGTGTGTGCCTGTTCCAGCTACTAAGGAAACTGAAGAGGGAGGATCACTTGGACCCAGGGAAGTCAAGGCTGCAGTGAGGCATGATCGTGCCTGCATTTCAGCCTGGGCAACAGAATGAGACCCTGTCTCAAAACAAAAGCAAAAGGAAAAGCAAAAGCAAAAGCAAAACCAGACACTTAACAATACCACAGTTTTTTAAAAAGTACGGAGTTGGTGCTAGGAGCAGTGGCTCATGCCTCTAATCTGGCACTTTAGGAGGCTGGGGTGGGAGGACTGGCTGAGGCCGGAGGCTTGCTCGAGCCCAGGAGTTTGAGGCTGCAGTGAGCTATGATTGTGGCTCTGCAGCCCAGTCTGGACAACAGAGAAAGAACTTGTCTCTAAAAAAAAGAAAAAAAGTACACAGCTGAATACTCTCTGAGTGCCACTTCTGTGTGTATCTTACAGACTTACTAAGATTTAGGCCGGGTGCAGTGGCTCAAGCCTGTAATCCCAGCACTTTGGGAGGCTGAGGTGGGTGGATCACGAGGTCAAGAGATCAAGACCATCCTGGTCAACATGGTGAAACCCCGTCTCTACTAAAAATACAAAAAATTAGCTGGGCATGGTGGCACATGCCTGTAATCCCAGTTACTCAGGAGGCTGAGGCAGGAGAATTGCCTGAACCCAGGAGGCGGAGGTTGCCGTGAGCCGAGATCGCGCCATTGCACTCCAGCCTGGGTAACAAGAGCAAAACTACGTCTCAAAAAAAAAAAAAAAAAAAAAGATTTAAGCATGCACTTGTTTATTTTATTTACTCAAAAGCCTCACCAAGTTAATGTGTATCAACAGTTCTCTCTAGATTTTTACCCCTGAGGGATCAAAAGGATTGATGACACGGGGCTCAGAACTGTTTACATGCCTTTTCCGATGCTGTCCAACTAGTCTATCCATTTTAGGTTGTAAATTCCCAGAGGGCATAGACCCTCATTTACTTGCTTACGTAAAATTCAAACCAAGAACATGCTGATGGTGGTGGGATAGCATGTCAAAATGTAATACAATCTATAATGAACCGGAAGACATTTTCAAACCTATTTTGGTCCTTTAGTAAAAACCTAGAAAACAAAATCTGAAAAATCTAAGCTGTATTCATTATAAGTAGACAGAAAAGTGGGCATAATTAATATTAGTAGGAATAATAACAATAGCTAGTCTCTATTGAGAAATGACTCTGTGCTAATCAAATTGGAACTCTTTATACATTAAAGCTATATTTTACAATAAGTCAGTGAGGAAAGTGCTAGAGCTGGCATTGAACATTTGAATCCAGAATTTCTTTCCTCCTTTTTTTTTTTTTTTTTAAAGTGCACTTGTACATAAAAGTACTCAGGACTTTCAGTGCTGGAGAAAATGAGACCATAAGGTTGAATCAGCTTTTATAATAACTTCTGTCTCAGTCTCTGATACCTATCAAGTTGAACACTGGAAAGAGTGTGTCTTTGTTTCCATAGTTACAAGACAAGGCTTCTTATACCTGCTCCCAGCTTTCCTTGCAGGAATATTACAAAGATAAATAAGCTGATATAAGTAACACAAGGGGAAGTTCTTAGAGCTACTGCATTTGTGTGTAAAACAAAACAAAAAATAAGATGGGGACTGACATTAGAAGAGTCTTACACTATATTTCATCAAGTTTAGAGTGCCACCGATTTAAAGACACATCCCAATTTCACAGACATTCAAATGTGTGTCTTCAAATACATAACCTATTTTATAGTATCAGGTCTCAAAAGTTTTCTTAGGAAAGATATATCACTTTAAAAGCATAATGGGCTAGATGTGGTGACTCACACTATAATCTCAGCATTTCAGGAGGCTGAGGCAGGAGGAGCGCTGGAGCCCAGGAGTCCAAGGCTGCAATGAGCTATGATCATGCCACTACACTCTAGCCTGGGCAACAGAGCAAGACCCTGTCTCTAAAAATAAGTAGAAGGCATAATGTATATTTGTATGCTTGCATAGAACGGGGTTTATGAATGAATGAAGCAAATTGTACAATAACATATACAGCATAAACCACTTATGTTAACTACGGAAGCACACTCAAAACACTATTAAATATTAATGAATATTTTAGGACATGTTTCTGGAGAGTTGTACAGCAACTTGCTAGTATTGGTTACCTCTGTGAAGAAACTACAGTTACAGTGGGAAGGTAGTCAAAAGGGACTGGACTCAACCATGAACTTGAAGAAGATATTCATGTGTACATAACATGAGATAGTGTTTTAAAAGGTTAAATTACAAAGTGGATTTAAAAAAATCTACCCACAATCTCATCAATAGAAAAAAATCTAGAAGAATTTTTTTAAAGCCCCATAATTCTACCACTGTAATACAATCAAGGTTACTTATTGGTTGTAACTTGCTTTTGTCAAGTTTTCCCATCAGCAAATATAACAGATCTAACCAATATCTTAAAAAGATGGTCGTATGTACATACCCCTATCAGGCGTGCAGCCAAACCACAACGCAAGTTTTATTTTTGGCTAGAATTATACACTGGAAGGCCCATCGTCGCCGTCCCATTGGAAGCGACAGTGATCAAAAGTCACAGTCGTGTTATAAAGGCTATTTGTTATTTCTTGGTAAACAAAGCTTATTTAGCAAAGAGATGGGAACCATTATGGTGACCTGAAGGGCTGGTGTCACAGGAGGGCTGTGACTGCCCTCTAGGGGTAAAAGACTCATTCTGCACACAGGCACTAACACGTGTAATCTCGGGAACTCTATCCCTCTCCTGGTAACGTGACCTTGAATCTGCTCTGGTTGGTCATCATCACTGCTTTTACTACGTAACTGCTGTCTATTTCTCCTCTTGGTCTGTGGATGAGTTGTAGACAGTAGCTACTTTCATTGGCAAAATGTTCCTTTCAGCTTTGTGTTCTTCTATTTAAAGTTCACCAAAGGCAAAAGATGCATGTGGCATCTAGGCTGGAAAATGCAACTCAGATGACATCCTGGGAGGGCTCTCACTCCGTGGTTTTCCGGGGGTGAAAAGAGGGAGGAGGGAGTGCTGAAAGAAAATGCTTTCCAAAAATATTTACCAGACAAAGAAAAAGAACTAGGCTTATGACCAAGACATTCCAAGGAGACACCCTTAGACATAAGCAATTTTCCAGGCCCGCTCCCCAGAAAGGTGGAAATGGCCAATTTCCACCCCCTCAACAGCCCCACTCATTCTTCTTCTGAAAATAAACACAGCTAGAGCCAGGAGGTACTTCCCTGAACTGGTCATAATTCAAAAAGAGACTCTGCCGTCACTTGCAGGGGAGTGCACAGAGGACACTTTGGAGCCGGGGTTCTTGGGGAAAGATTATAACTGTAGTTATCTCCTTTTGATCAGCCAAAGGAGGTAACTGGGAAAGGGGCTGTGTCTGCATTCTTCTCCCACTGTAGTTTTGAGAAAAATCTCAGGGCACAATGAGAAGCGTGGCCCAAATCATTGAAGGAAGTCATTCCTATTATTCCTTTTCTTTTCTTTGAGACAGAGTCTTACTTTGTCGCCCAGAATGAAGTGCAGTGGCACAATTTCAGCTCACTGCAACCTCCACCTCCCGGGTTCAAGTGATCCTCGTGCCTCAGCTGCCTGAGTAGCTGGGATTATAGGTGCCTGCCACCATGCCAGGCCAATTTTTGTATTTTTAATACAGATAGGGTTTTGCCATGTTGCCCAGGCCGGTCTTGAACTCCTGACCTCAGGTGATTCCACCCACCTTGGCCTCTAAAGTTTGGAGATTACAGGCGTGAGCCACCGCACCCAGCCTATTATTGCTTTTTTTTTTTTTTTTCCCTGAAAAGAAGGTCTTACAGTCTGAACCCCTGACTTATGCACTGTCTGGTTTATATTCAACTGAACTTGGAGCTTTTCCCGAAGCCTTCCATGTGGCCAGGGCCCTCTTTTCTAGTCTGTCACAAACCTTGCAGCCCGAGGGACCTCTGACACTGCAGTCATAAGCCACATTCCTCCTCCGTCTAACATCCTTCCATGGCCTGGTGTGCCTTCTCTATCTGTGTGACTAACAAGGCTCAGCCATGATCTTGTCCCCATGATCAGGCCAATGTCTCTACCCTTGGGCAAATGCACCTTGTTCACTGCCATGTTCATGCGTTTACCCACAAAATAACTCATGCCTAGAAAGTCACCTCCCACCACCCCTCCCATATATTTAAAGTCTGCCTGATCTGCAAGATCCAATTTTAGTTACTCCTCTGTGTGTGACACCTACTCCAGTCCTCCTTCAGTTTCCTCAACTTTCTTATTGCAACACATTGGATGATAGCTCCCCTGACCATTTTTTTTTTTTTTTTTTTTTTTAGACAGGGTATCGCTCTGTCGCCCAGGCTGGATTCTCTTGCCTCAGCCTCCCAAGTAGCTGGGATTACAGGTACCCACCACCATGCCCAGATTATTTTTGTGTTTTTGGTAGAGACTGGGCTTCACCATGTTCCTCAGGCTGGGGTCAAACTCCTGGGCTCAAGTGATTCACCTACCTCAGCCTCCCAAAGTGCTGGGATTATAGGCATTAGCCAACACACCCAGCTGATAGCTCCCTTTTATTGTGGGCCTGTGCTATATGCTCTGTATACCTTACCTGATTTAATAGTATTGAATACTAGTACCCTATTTATAGGTGCCCTATGTAGTAATACTACATAAGATACTATTATGTCCAGCATACAGATGAGAAAACTTGAGTGTCAGATGTTAAGTAACTGGTCTAAGGTCACACAGCTGGCTATCAAGATTCTCTGATACCTGCTTCTACCTCCCTCTCAATCCTCATCCTGTACCATTTTCCCTCTTAATCTCTGTACTCTCATCACACTGGCTTTATTTTTGTTTGGGACAGGTTCTCACTCTGTTGCTCGGGCTGTAGTGCAGTGGTGAGATCACCGTTCACTAAAACCTCCACCTCCTGACCCCAAGCAATCCTCCCACCTAAACCTCCCGAGGAGCTGGGACTCCAGTGAACCACCATGCCCCCTTAATTTTTTTGTTTGTATTTTTACTAGAGATGAGGTTTCACCATGTTGCCCACGCTTGTCTGGAATTCCTGGCCTTATGTGAGCTGACTGTCTCAGCCTCCCAAAGTGCTGGGATTATGAGTATGAGCCACTGTGCCAAGCCTTGTTTTTTCCTTTCTCAAAACAAACAAACAAACAAACAAACAAACAAACAAAACAAATCAAAAAAGTCACGCTCAGCCCCACCTCAGGACTTTTGCACTGGCTTGTTTGTAATGCCTCCCCAGACTTTTGCAGAACTGGCTCTTGCTTTTCATTATATGTCACCTTCTAGATACTGTCCTAGCCCACCCTGTCTAAAACTGACCCCAGGTTTTCTTGGTCATGGCCTTTTATGTTCTTCAATGCACTTGTAATTGCTGATATTTCTTTGATTTATCTGTTTACTTTTTATGCTAGACTACACCATTGCAATATGAGCTCCATAAAAGCAGGGGCCTTGTCTGTGTTACTCCTAGCTGAATCCTTGTGATCTAGAACAACACCTGGCATTGAGTGAGCATTCAAAAAATATTTTATTTTTTATTTTTAGAGATGGGCTCTTGCTGTTTGCCTAGGCTGGAGTGCAGTGGCATAATCATAAGCTCACTGTAGCATTGAACTCCTAGGTTCAAGTCATCCTCCCACCTCAGCCTTGGCCTCCTGAGTGGCTAGGACTAGAGTTTGTACATCACCACACCTAGCTGATTTTTTATTTGTGTGTGTGTGTGTGTGTGTGTGTGTGTCTGTGTGTGTCTGTGTGTGCGTGCGCACGTGCGCGCACGCGTTGGTAAAGATGGGATCTTACTATGTTGCCTAGGCTGGTCTTGAACTCCCGGCCTCACACAATACTCCCACCTTTGGTCTCCCAAAGTGCTGAGATTACAGATGTGAGCCATTCTTAATGTAAATATATATACATTTTTGAGACAAGGTCACACTCTGTTGCTCAGGCTGGACTGCAGTAGTGCCGTCGTCATAGCTCACTGCAGCCTTGACCTCCTGGGCTCAAGTTTTCCTCCCACCTCAGCCTCCCAAGTAGCTGGGACTACAGATGTGTGTCACCATGCCTAGCTAATATTTTTATTTTTTTTTGTAGAGATGAGGTCTCCCTATGTTGCCTAGGCATCTCTGAAACTCCTGGACTCAAGGGATCCACCTGCCTCAGCCCTCTAAAGTGCTGGGATTACAAATGTGAACTATCACACCCAGTCAATATTTTTCAGTGAATAAATTACTCCAATATTCATGTTCTTAACCTCTACTTTATGTGACCTCTGTCTAAATTATAGTGCTTATAGTACTATAATTACAGTTTATGCCATATAACCTAGCCATTGTATATTTATGGCTTTATGTCTTATACTGTTTGCTCTGATTTCATCCATATTTGGATTCAGCCTATTTGTGTGTGTGTTCAATCACTGATTCACAGGAGCTGGTGCTGGCTTTCCAGCATGAACCTGTTGTCAGTGGACATTGGCATTTCCCATTTCATCCAGCAGAGGACATGTCATACAGAGCCTCTCAAATGGCAGCTGTTGAGTGATTCAGAGTGAGGTGAGAGAGATATCCAGTGTACTCTCTTCTGCCTTGTTGAACCCTCTTTGGGAAACATCCTCAATCCAGAATCAAAGTTTTCAGGTTTTTCTATTTCTCTTGACAATTAAGCTGCCTGGTTTTTGCCAAGCCCAAGTCCTGAGCCTACTGGCATATCTTGGAGGTCTTAGGCTCACAACCCACCCAGGCCAGGAATAATGGGAAGTCACAAGGTGTTAAAAGTAAATTAACTCCTTCTTGAGATGATTTTCCACCTGATTAAACTGAAGAACTGAAAAAAACATCTAAATTGCCAGCATTATGAAAAGAATGCTGTATGGCTGGCCAACATATTTTATGTCTGGAACATATCTTCTTACATTTTAATATTTAAGGAGTTCTTTGGAAATTATGTGCAGAAAGAGCAAGGATTCCTCTGATAATGTATCTGGCTGCATATAATGTAGGCAAATTGGGCTGCCATAAAAAAGATAGGCAGACAGACAGACACAGACACAGACACACAGACACACACACAGACACACACACACACACACACACACACGGAGAGAGAAAGAGAAAAGAGCTAGTAAGTCCAAACACTTTGGCTTACACAGAGTTTTAAATTCTCATGAATTTATTTTTATTTGCCTGCCTTCTTTCAGGGAGCATATATATTGTTGACAAATATATATAATATTCAAAAATAGCATAAAAAGCAAGAATAAAAAGAAAAAAGAAAAAGACAGTTGAGAAGGCAACATAAGATGGACCTAAGTGGTTGTTTAAAAGTTCATTCCATATTAAACTCTATACATGTTTTTTGGGTGGCCACAAATTTACCTTTAAGGTCTCTTGTCACCAATACCAACACATCAACTCAGTTTCAAGATGTGAGTAAATGTCTAGTATTTCTATCACTGATACATAAGCTAAATTAACAAGAATAACCACATTCAAAGACATGTGAAATATACACTATAATCAGGAATAACAAATTCATTACTACAAATTTCCACTTTTTTTTTTTTTTTGAAATGGAGTCTTTCTCTGTCACCCAGGCTTGAGTGCAGTGGTGTGATCTTGACTCACTGCAACCTCCACTTCTTGGGTTCAAGTGATTCTCCTGCCTCAGCCTCCTGAGTAGCTGGGACTATAGGTGCGTGCCACCATGCCCAGTTAATTTTTGTATTTTTAGTAGAGATGGGGTTTAACCATATTGGTCAAGCTGGTCTTGAACTCCTGACCTTGTGATCTGTCTGCCTCAGCCTCCCAAAGTGCTGGGATTATAGGCATGAGCCACTGCGTCCAGCCATTACTACAAATTTGTAAAACAATGTTTTGAGTACTAAAATTCCTTTTCTTCTTCCTTTGCAATAGCCCTAGGGGACAAATCGCATATTAAAAAACCTTTAAGCAGGACATGTTCTAATTCCTGGAGGACTTATTTCCTTTCTTGTTACTTATGGATGACAGCAAGTAGGTAGCCCATGCAAAAGGTAAAGAAACTAAAAATATTAAAAGACTTACGTGTCATCTATAAACGTTATTCCAAAATACTCCTTTTCTTTCAGGTTGAAATGGGAAGCCACAAGGTCCAGCAACTCTCTTGCTAAAAGTTTGGGCTGTCAAAATAAAAATCTGGTTAGAAGCAACGTGGTTGTCCTTCTCTTACTGCTACTACCTTCCTCTGCCCTAAATAGTTTAAAGCAGCTTTTGTTTATTTGTTTTCTATTACCTGCCCCTGTTTGTGGATTAGGTTGATGTACTATAGACAATTCTATTTTTTTTTTTTTTTTCCTGAGATGGAGTCTCACTCCATTGCCCAGGCTGGAGTGCAATGGCATAATCTCGGCACTGCAACCTCTGCCTCCTGGGTTCAAACAATTCTTGTTTCTCAGCCTCCCAAGTAGTTGGGACTACAGGTGTCCACCACCATGCCTGGCTAATTTTTGTATTTTTAGTGGAGACAGGGTTTCACCTTGTTGGTCAGGCTGGTCTCGAACTCCTGACCTCAAGTGATCCACCCGCCTCAGTCTCTCAAAGTGGTGGGATTACAGTCATGAGCCACCAAGCCAGGCCAACAATTCTAAGAATTGTTGGAAGGAGAAGAGATAGGAATAGAATATCAATGAGACCATCATTTTCTTGTATTTGCAATTCACTCAAGTGCCTTACATTTTCCCTCTAAGGTACACTTACTAAGACGTTGTTTTGGAAAAAATACTCTTTTTTTTTTTTTTTTTTGAGATGGAGTTTCGCTCTTGTTACCCAGGCTGGAGTGCAATGGCACGATCTCGGCTCACCGCAACCTCCGCCTCCTGGGTTCAGGCAATTCTCCTGCCTCAGCCTCCTGAGTAGCTGGGATTATAGGCACGCGCCACCATGCCCAGCTAATTTTTTGTATTTTTAGTAGAGACGGGGTTTCACCATGTTGACCAGGATGGTCTCGATCTCTTGACCTCGTGATCCACCCGCCTCGGCCTCCCAAAGTGCTGGGATTACAGGCTTGAGCCACCGCGCCCGGCGGAAAAAATACTCTTTTATATGTAATGTGGTGCTAATTCCCAAGACAAAGAATATTAAACAGCTTGCTGCTTGGTTATCTGTGACATATGAAAGACTGGAGGAATCATTTTGCTTGTTGGTGGCCAGTTGAAGAAGTCCAGACTCAAAGCTGTGGGGCTACTGATGAATACTAATACTACTGATAATAAATAGTTTCCATTTATTATGCTGAACTTATATATATTGTCATTTAACCCTTATAATGAGCTATGAGGTAGGGCTTTTTATTTCCATTTTATAAATGAGTCAACCAGGGCCCAGAGTGATTAAGCACCTTATTTGATGTTACACTGTTAGTAAGGGCAGGGATTTGAACCTAGTCTGTCTCCTTCCAAAGCCTAAACTTTTCCTTTCAAAGATGGAGATATTATACCCATTGCATACATCATCATCAACAGTAATAAGTACCTGGTGAGAAGAAGGATATAATCTATATGCTTTTAGGAAGCTCTGGATCTGGTGAGAAGAAACATGGGTTTGGAATCAGCCAGAATGCCTGGAGTGGTAATTAATGCTGGATTTGCAGGGACTGGGGAAGAAAAGGGGAATGCTGGCAGGAGGCACTCTGGATGGATTCTTTTTGAACTTTGAGCCAAACAGTTTAGGGTATATTACAATGGTTGTTGGGGAAAAAAAATGGACATGATTTAAAGGAAAAAAAAAAAAAAAAGAAAGAAAGAAACAGGCAGATATCTAGACTAAAGGTCTACTTTGGCGAAGCTACTGTTGACCGTACTATTTCACTCAAATTGAAGCCTAAGCATAGTGGGCTAGGGAAAGGCCTTGGAAGAGAAAAGAATTTAGGTTTGGTTAGAGGAGAAATACTAGGCTAGCTGTAGGTGTGGCCTGTCCGCAGGGACTTTCACAATTTGGAGACTCTTGGTCCAGAGTGTTGGGTGAATAGAAATAGAAGCATCAACAATTAAAATATCATTGCTTGGCTGGGTGTGGTGGCTCACGCCTGTAATTCCAGCACTTTGGGAGGCCGAGGTGGGTGGATAACTTGAGGTCAGGAGTTCTAGACCAGCCTGGCCAACATGGTGAAACCCAATCTCTACTAAAAATATAAAAATTACCCGGGTGAGATGGTGGGGGCCTGTAGTCCCAGCTACTCGAGAGGTTGAGGCAGGAGAATTGCTTGAACCCAGGAGGCAGAGTTTGCAGTGAGCTGAGATCGTGCCACTGCACTTTAGCCTGGGCAACAGAGTGAGACTGTATTTCAAAAAAAAAATATATATATATATACATATACATATATATATACACACATATATATATACATATATATACACACATATATATATACATACATATATAATGTACACACACACACACGCACACACACACAATCACTTATATAGAGCCATATATTTTACAAAGAGATTTTGCTCGCATATATAATCTAGCTTGATTTTAACCATAATTCTGCTGGGAAGCCTAGGCAGTTCCCAGTTGATGAAACTGGGTATTTCCCTTACACAATGCCATATAGCTGGACAGTGGCAGAATATAGATTCCCACCTCACAATAATCCTTTCAGGAAATACTATACTTCCCAATTTACCAATAAGAGGTTCAGAGAAGTAAAGTCAATTTCCCAGGGTCACAGAGCTATGAAATGTCAGGCTGAGATTGGAACCCAAGTGCCTCTGAATCCACGTCACCAGGCTATAATTATCTTTACATATGGACCAGGTTTTCTAACTTCAAAGATGCTTTTTTCCCCTTGATCACCTCTGAGTCACTGACTTTGAGGCAAAGATAAGGGAGAAGGCTGAGTACAGACTATGAGGCTCAGAGAGGGAATGAGGATGAGCTGTCCCTGTGTGGGCAACATCTACCTGTGCAAAACCTACCTGGGCAACACCTGTTTGGATAATACCCACTAGGACAAAACCTACCTGAACCAGCAGCTCCAGTCTCCTATCATCCAGGAGGTGCACCTGGCAGTGCCTGCCTTCTGTCATCTGCAGGGACAAGACAGGAGAGTGGTGTCAGGGCCAGGGCTGGCAAGCAAACCTCTGGACTCATTGTATCACTTATTTTATATGAGATGTGCTCAACTTAAAAATAGCTTTAGTTGAGTTAATCAACAGGGTTGGCCAGAAACAGATTTATTATATGGGAGTAACTTGGATTTAAAAAAAGAAAAGAACAAAGAGCACAGGATAGCCAATATATTGCAAAAATAATGCCCTTACAAGTTCAAGCAATGCATACAAAATTATTATATGAAAGCTGGGTCTCCATCCCAGAGGAAACTACAATATTTTTCCTGGAATTAACGTTTTGTTAAAAAAAAGAAAAGCCAGCTGGGCACATTGGCTCATGCCTGCAATCCTAGCACTTTGGGAGGCTGAGGCAGGTGGATCACTTGAGGGCAGGAGTTTGAGACCAGCCTGAACAACATAGTGAAACCCCACCTCTACTGAAAATACAAAAATTAGCCAGGCATGTGGTGTGCACCTGTAATTCCAGCTACTCAGGAGGCTAAGGCCTGAGAATTTGCTTGAACTCAGGCAGTAGAGTTTGGAGTAAGCCACGATCACGCCACTACACTACAACTTTGTGACACAGCGAGACTATCTTAAAAAAAAAAACAAAAAACAAAACAGCCTTCATTCAGGGGGCACAGTGGCTCATGCCTGTAATCCCAACACTCTGGGGGGCCAAGCAGGTGTATTGCTTGAGGCCAGGAGTTTGAGATCAGCCTGGCCAACATGGTGAAACTCCCTCTCTACAAAAAATACAAAAATTAGCCTGGTGTGGTAGCATATGCCTATAGTCCCAGCTACTCAGGAGGCTGAGCTGGGAGAATCACTTCGGCCTGGGAGGTTGAGGCTGCAGTAATCTGAGATTGCACCACTGCACGCCAGCCTGGGTGACAGAGAAAGACCCTTTTCCAAAAAAAGAAAAAAAAAGCGCCTTTATTCATTGATGTGTCTAACGTCTCTCTGGGTATGGCGGCATGCACCTATAGTCCCAACTACTCAAAAGGCTGAGGTGGGAGGATTGCTTGAGGCCAGGAGTTCAAGGCTGTAGTGAGCCATGATCACGCCTGTGAATAGCCACTGCACCCAAGCCTGTAGGCAACACAGACCTCATCTCTTAAAATAAAAAAGGAAAGTTGGCCAGGCGCAGTGGCTCAAGCCTGTAATCCCAGCACTTTGGGAGGCTGAGGCGGGTGGATCACAAGGTCAAGAGATCGAGACCATCCTGGTCAACATGGTGAAACCCCGTCTCTACCAAAAATACAAAAAATTAGCTGGGCATGGTGGCACGTGCCTGTCATCCCAGCTACTCAGGAGGCTGAGGCAGGAGAATTGCCTGAACCCAGGAGGCGGAGATTGCGATGAGCCGAGATCGCGCCATTGCACTCCAGCCTGGGTAACAAGAGCGAAACTCCATCTCAAAAAAAAAAAAAAAAAGAAAAGAAAAGTCTTCATTTTGGAAACTTCTTCCTCCACTTTTAGTATATGACCACCATAGTTAAGAACAGTTTGATACATAAATTTCCAATTATATTTAGTTTTTATTATTCAGAATTGCAATACCAAAAAAATCTGTAAAATACTTAAACAGTGCATGGAATGCCAAAATACTCCTTGATTAACTCATGTTCCAAACCATTTTATCTGCAGAAATCACCATCCCGTTAGTTTGAGAAGAATCCTCACAGACCACTTGCATATGTATTTTCAGATACATATTTACATATTAAAAATTTTCATATTTTACTTTAATACATATAATTATATTGAATACATGGTTTTGCAAATGAAGTACTCTTAATATTTCTATGAGTATAACCTTCCAGAAATTTGATATATATATGTATATATGTGCGTATCCGTGTGTGTGTGTGTGTCTGTATATATATATATTTGTTGTTGCTTTTTTTTTCTATTCAAGTAGGACTATGCTTCAATTGCTGTTTTGCCTCTTGCTTTTTAAGTTCAGTATTTCTTAGTGATCTTTCTGATATCAGCACACAGAGATGGACCTCATTCTTTTTAAAGACTCTATAGTATCCTCTATAATCATTGTGTGGATATATGATAATTGAGTAAGAGAAACAGGTTGTTTCCAGTCTTTTGATATCACAAGCAGTGTCACCATGAACTTTGCCATCTAGCTTTGTCCAGGGATGTGGAATTGCTAGGTTACTTTTGAAAAGCAGGGGCAGCATTTTGTCTCTAAGCCGTTGTACAAAACTGTAAGACCTGGAAACTCAGATACATATAAATCAAATTGAAAAAGAAAATAGCCTTCATTACTGAATAGCAACAACTTATTCAGCATTGCATGAGGTGTTTTCTATATATTATCTCTGAGCAGCACAGTTATCTTCTGGGGTTAGCATTATTAACCCCATTTAACAGATAAACAAGTTGAGGCTCAGACTGGAATAAGTAACCTGTTTTCAATGTGAAAACACTAATTACTGAATGCATATTTTTGACTGAACTCTGCTCTAAGAGTCTAAAAACTAGCTTAGTTGGTTAGATCATGGTATTATGAAGATGCGGTCCGCAGGAACCACTGAGGTAGTGCTGAGAGGTAAGTGAGCAAGCTTGACTGTGTCCCATGGCCACAGCCTATTTCCTTAATTCTGCAAAGTCAAGGTCAAATATATACCGTAGGTAGCCAGAGGAAAGGGAACAAATCTTTATTAGTTCTAGGCACTGAGCTGGGCACTTTACATGTAGTCTCTCAGTAAAGCTCTGCAAAAATGTACAACATGGCAACATCCCCATTTTATAGACAGGAAATGGAAGTACAGAGTTTATGGTAATTTACTCAAAGTTACCTGGGCAAGATAACAGCCAAGTCAAATTTGAATTAATGTCTGACTAAAGAAAAAAAAAGTCATCTTTTTTCTACTTTTCTATACCAGAGGAGGAAATAATTAAGAGAGAACTAAATAAATGTGTCAGTTTAAATCACTTTACTTCTTCAGTAAAACAACTTTTGAAAGCCAATCCTAGGTGTATACCTTGCAGAAAGATATAAAATAATGCTCAAAAGATCACACAGTATGAATCCATTAAGCAATATGTCATAACTCATAAAATATTTAAAGCTACTCTGTTGTCCCATAATCCACATAAGTTTATTTACTGATTTAAAAAAATCAGGCTGGGCATGTTAGCTCACACTGGTAATCTCAGTACTTTGGGAGGCCAAGGCAGGTGGATCATCTGAGGTCAGGAGTTAGAGACCAGCCTGGCTAACATGGTAAAATCCTGTCTCTACTAAAAATACAAAAAAATTAGCCAGGTGTGGTGGCAGGTGCCTGTAATCCCAGCTACTTGGGAGGCTGAGGCAGGAGAATCCCTTGAACCTGGGAGGTGAGATGTTGCAATGAGCCGAGACCGTGCCACTGCACTCCAGAAAGGGCGATGAGAGTGAAATTCCATCTCAAAAAAAAAAAAAATCACCTTTTTTCCCTTTCCATTTTGCTTCGGACCTCCCTCATATTAGTCAATATTCCTTTTATCAACACATAATTTTATTCTAGACTATTCAACTGTAGATATTTTTCTGATATGTCTAACCATTTCATGACAAATGTGGGCATTACGGCCAGGGTTTACTTGGTCCTGCCCCTTTGGCCTCAGTTGACTGGGAAAGGGGTAGACACCTGACTCAAACTGGTTCAATCAGAACCTCAGTCCAGGGAATCTGGAATTGGGTCCAAGAGTATAAAAACTTGGTTGTTTACGGGCAGCCATTGTTTGTGTGTGTATGGAGAAAGGGAAAGCCATCTGCAGAAAGAATGAGAAAGACAAGAAGCTAGAAGGAGGCAAGAAAGCTGGGGGTGGTGGCTCGTGCCTATAATCCCAGCACTTTGAGAGGCCGAGGCAGGAGGACCACTTGAGGTTAGAAGTTCAAGACCGGCCTGGCCAACATTCAACCTTGTCTCTACTAAAAAAATATGAAAAGTAGCTGGGTGTGGTGGTACGTGTCTGTAATCCCAGCTACTTGGGAGGCTGAGGCAGGAGAATTGCTTGAACCCAGGAGGCAGAGGTTGCAGTGAGCCAAGATCATGCCACTGCACTCCAGCCTGGGTGACAGAGCAAGACTCTGTCTTAAAAAAAAAAAAAAAAAAAAAAAAAATGGAGGCAAGAGAAATCATGTGGCCTAAGAAGAAAAGCTTAAGAGAGTTGTCAGGGTTCCTAATATGTTTTCCAGTCACTTAGAGCCCTTTTCACTGATCTGGGTGAATATTTGTCCTTAAGTTTCATGAAACACCCTGTATTCCTTTAAAAAATCTACTTTTTTTCCTCTCTTAAGCTAAGAGAGAGAATTCTGTTTCTTTTACTTATTTATTTCTGAGACAGAGTGTCACTCTGTAATGCAGGCTGGAATGTAGTGGCACAAACATGGCTCACTGCAGCCTTGACCTTCTGGGCTCAAGTAATCCTCCTGCCTCCGCCTCCTGAGTAGCTAGGACTATGGGTATATGCCATCATGCCTGGCTAATTTTTATATTTCTGTAGAGACGGGATCTCACTATGTTGCTCAGGCTGGTTTGGAATTCTTGGGCTCAAGCAACCTGCCTGCCTTGGACTTCGGAAGTGTTGGGATTACGGATGTGAACCATAGTGCCCATCTGGATTCTGCTTTTTGCAACTAAAAGCGTTTTCATAAGACACCACAGGGTTCTATGCCAGAACCAAAGCAAAAGGGTTCCAAAGCATAGACTCTCCAAATGATGTCATTAATATGAGAAAGTAATCTACTCATAATCCCGGAGGTTCCCATTGATGACAATACAACAATCAAGAGAGGCTGATATCTGGGGAGGGGCATGTGATGAACGACTACATGGGGCAGCTGGAGAGGGGAGAGCAGATGAAATGGAGAGAAAAACACCACAGTTACACGTCTGCGCAGCACACATGGTGTTCAATATTCACTAAGTTCTTACCCCTGTGGAAAGATGGCTCTGCTGGTAGGTCAG